GCAAGGTCATGAGCACATGTGAAATGCAAAAAGCAGCAGTAAGGCGAGAACCACAGGTGTTGTGGAAAAGGCCCAGGACACCTGTCTGGGGCTGTTCTCAGCAGGTCCATCAGCCTTCATGGTATCTGCTGGGTTTCTTGTCTCCCCAGCAGTAGCTGTTTGTGTGGATATCTCACTTTTCTTCGCACATACAGATGCAGCATCAGGTTTTAACTCCCACTATTGCAAAGACACGTGAGAAATGTGACCCTGAAATGCTGCAAAGGTTCAGAAAGTAAAGCACACTCACAATTTACTTATTCAATCCTAAACTCCGGGGCTGTGCTGCTTTTTGAGTTGACAAACTGGTGTGGGACAAATGGGGTACTAAAATGCCAGAGGTTATCCCCCAAATCAGGTGTCAGAGAGGATAAATGGCAGTTATAGGAAGAACCTCCCTAGATCTTATAGGACCCTCAAAGTCATCTAGCAATCACCAGGAAAAACTCACCAGACAAGAGGAAGGAAGAGGCACAGCAGAACCAGTAGGTCTGGAGGTGATCCAGAAGACCATCTCCAACCCACTGCTGGTACCCACCATTCACTCTCTCCCAAAGGAAATTTCCAGCCACTCGGGTTCACTTGTGTGACAAGTTTTTCTTCCCCTGCCTCTGCTCAGGTGTGACTGTATCATCTGCTTTTCAGCCAAGAGGATGTTTCACACTGCAGGATCCAGAGACAAGCCTTGTAATTAGGATGTGGGTGCCACCCACCAGTTAATCCCTCCTCCTTACTCATTGAGCCTGGGAAATATGTAGCCAGGTTTGTTTATATTGCCCATACAACTTATCATTTGTTCATACTGCTTTATGTCTTCAAAGCACTTCAGAAGGAGTTTTGCAAGCTTCTCCCCAACCCTCATGTGACAAAGGATTTGGAAAGGGGATGGAAGGGGAGCAGGGAAAAGGAAAGGAAAACAATTTGCCCCAGGACAAAGAGAGTTGGCTGTAGAGCTAGGATCAACACCCAGAAGCTCCTGCCTCTGAATCTTGTGCTCTGATCTCTGCCTGTACCTCACTATCTTCAGGTTCAAAACTGGTATTGTGTAGCCTGGTGATCATCTTGGTACCAGAGAGCAGGTTTCAAGGAATTTCCTTCAGCCCAGCACTCCTGTGGTCAGAGCCACTGGCCCTAGTGGTCCTGGACCAATGATTAAACTAAAGAATTTCAAATATCTGGCAGTGGTCAGTAAAACCACAATCAACACGTTTTCCTTATCAGCACTAGAGGAATGACATTTTCATCATTCCTATCAGCCAGTACCTGGAAACATCTGGCCCACTTGCCCAAAATTCTTAATATATTGATAACCCTGCCACAGCTTTACTATTGGTACTCCCGATTTGCAAAGCCCCTTAAATCATTGCTGGGGCAAGAGGAAACTCTCTCCTGGGTGGTCCTGGGCCCACAAATTACTTATTTTCTCCCCATCACTGGAACAATCTTGTACTGGAGTTTGTTTTGCTGGTTTTGCTGCAATTTTTCTCTCTTGCTACAGAGGGAAAGGAAAGCTCAATAATTTGGAGAGAAGAGACACACTCCCCATCTTTGTCTCTTAATCATGAGACAAAATGAAAAGGTTCGAGCAGATAAAGGGCCATTCAACCAGAGTGCTCCTGGTACCAGACCCATCTGGTGAGCACCTCCCTTGGGTAAGGTGAGAGCACCACTATCAGCCCCTTGGTCCTGCTGGAAAAGCCCCTACCTAAACCTGCCATTTGCTCTCCTCCTGGCAGTGTTTGTCAAGGCCCCTTGCTTTGCTTCCACCCTCCCAGCTGTAAAATAGATGTAAGGCATCTTTCCCAAAGCCCTCCAGGACCTGATGATGAGGACTCCAGAAGCATTAGAGTACTCTAATGTCACCACTGCTTTGGTGATTACTCCTTTCTGGGGTAGGAGAGGGTGGCAATTATAGGAATCATGTCTTCAGCCCTCTCCTACAGGAGCGGGGAGGGCACAGCAATTTTGGCTTTTCCACTGATGGGTATGCAGGGCAAACAAACACAAAGTACCAAGGCTGGAGACCGCAGGCACTGGGGGTGATGCAGCACCTGAGACAGCCTCCAACACTAGGACTAGGTGGGGAGTACCAGCTCCACGCACGTGCAGGCTGAGTAACATCCCAAGGAACCCAAACACACATGGAGATGGCTGGGACTTGAGAAATCTTGCCCAAGGGCCAAGGGGACTCCAGTAAGTGACCACACAAACTTCTGTAGATCCCACATTCATAAAAAGTAAAATAATGTCTCCTCTTCATAACCTTGTTAATGATGTCTGCTCTCCTAGGAACCAGGATTGCTTGAACCTCATGTCTATGGAGGAAATCTGAGCTTATGCTGAAGCCTTCTGGTGAGTGAGCTTTGCTGGGATCCCCCTGCTACAAGGACTCTCTGGTGTCTAACAGAGTTTTGGTCTATGCCAGGCATTTCCAGGGACAGTGAGTATGTCTTTCCTCCCCTCAAGACCCATTTTCAGGACACTTGTAGGTGTCCTGAAGCAGAGCATCTCTACTTCTTAATAGTGTTTAAAGAGCACAAAGAGAAGAAAGGTGCACAGACCGACAGGCATACGAGTCCTACCGTGAGTGTCTTTTCTTTAAGAAAGCGACAGGAAAGAAAACAGACCAAGCTTTATTTTTCTTGGTGAGGAGAAGGGACAATTTCCTGTTCATGATTCAGCTCTGTCATATGGAGACAATGACAGTCCTTTATACTCCTCGCAGCTTTGTCTTTAAAACATCGCTCAAGACAGCACACCTCTCCAGGTAAGGTGCAATTACCTGGGAGTTCACTAGCTCACCACTAGCAATTACCCAACTGCCCTGTGTCCCATCAACCCACCCTAATCACCACATCATCACTACAGCCTTAAGACTGGTGGCTCCTACGGTAAATACCATCATTAAACACCTGGGAGTGAATTTACTACCAGCCATCGAGTGGTTACTTACTGGGGTCACTGCAAACATGCAAACTGAACAGAAGGATTGTTATAAAATATGATCCCACTCAAATAAAAGCAGATGCTATTAGCAAGCGACAGGCACTGTTTATTCCATAAAATACCAGCTAAGACAAGTTATTTAATGACTATCTGGGAAAGTCCTGCTTCAGTGGGGCTAACACTCCCAGTCATAAACTCCCTAGGCAGAACGGCTGGGGAGATACAGAGTGAGTTAAATTTGTTCCTTTTTATGGCCTGCAAGGTGTGGGTATGTTTTCCCCTCTCTTGGGTTTCAGACTGACATTACTGTTCATGGGTTTAATAAAGCCTGAAGAATGTACTTGCCTTAACCCTTGAGAGAAACAAGGCTTATTTGAACTAATTGGAGCAGGGAGAGCTGCTGGTCCAAGCAGAATCACCCACTCTCAAGTTGCTGAATTTTAAAAATTGGCTCTAAAACATGATTTTAAAAAAAGAATGGAAATATCCAATTTGTTTAATTTACCTTTAGGCTTCTGAATTTTCAGGTTCATTTAGGTTAAACCTCCTCTTACTATACAGATGTTTTTTCTTAACTTTTATTTAGATATAAAAAGCATCACTGAATCTCACAGATCTGGTACCTGTGTTTTCCAGGCAAAGCCTATACTACTGTAAGTCCACCACCCCAAAATTCTAAACCTTGGCAACACTACATTATGCAGGTTTGGTTTTTTTTAAATTGACAACTTGTTCTGCATATTCCCACTTAAACAGTGAAAAATGATCTGTGTAACAGGCATGACCCTTTCCCTTTCTCTAATCCCCCACCCCGTCCTGGGATAGGCTGACTGTGCTAATCTTACATCTCCAGGTCATCAGTGAGAATCCAGGTCAGCAATAAAACACTGCCAGCAACCCTCTCTGCTCATTTTGTGGTGTCCCTCTGCCTTTTCCTGACACCAGGATCTGCTCCTCTGCTACAAGCATGACACCAGGAGGGATTACCAAGTCTCCTCGTGCCTTTGGTGCTATGGGTAAGAATTGTTCAGGCAGCTCTCAGCCCTGTGCCCTGATAAATAACTCAAACTGTGATCTCAAAGGTCTTGGCATTGTTGCCCTACTTGTGGCACCAAGGCCTTTCTGAGTCGTGGTGCTGCTTTTCCGTGTGTGCCACTGAATCCACGCAGGACACCAGCCCTTCCACAAGCTCACCACCCACCACGGAGCCAGGAAGCTGGCTCTGGGATGAAATGTTACCCTGTAAAAGTGGTTCCTCATCTCGGACAGCTGGCACACCTTTTTACGTGTTTGTCTCTGCTAGTTTTGACAGGTGCAAAACGGGCTGTGGTGAGCGCTGCCTCCCCGTGCCGGCGAGCGTCCTCCCCCGGCAGGCTTCTTACGTTTCTGCTCCCATCTCCCAAGTGGAGGAAAAAGCCTTTTCTTTACAGCACACCCCCACAATGCTCCTCGCTTCCCTGCACACAATTGAGCCCTGGGGGGCCCTTCCCTCCTCACCCTCCCCCCGGCTCCAGAGGAATGGGCGTGCAGGCGGGTTGTGCTGAGACACAACCGGACTAGCTCTTTATCAGCAGGAAAAGCCTTCATTTCAATTTAAAGCCACCTTCTTCTAGCACAGCTCGTAGCCCTGGCTGCCCTGCAGGGCTTTTATGAGTTTGGTTGTTCAGGCGAACCCAAACTTACCCAAAATCAGCTGCTCCGTCCTCCTTGAGGCAAGAGAGCTGACCACAAACTGTCTGAAGGCCGCTTGACTCCCCCCTCGCTGCACAGCTTCTCCCCAAGCACCCCTCCCACAAAATCACCCTCAACCCCCCACAGTCCCAGAGATTTCCTTTGCCCTACTCCCACTTAAAGCAAGCCCCTCGACCGCCGTGTCTGCAGACAGGAGCACAGGTGCCGGCGGAGCGACGTGCAGTCAGTGCCGCCGTGGGCACCTGAGACACCCACGCTGGGTGAAACTCATCCCACCTCCGAAGCTGGGGCCGGGGCATGGCCCGGGACCGCGCAGAGGGTACCTGGAGGAGGGCCAAGGGCCCTCCGCGCTGCTCCTCGTCCTCGATGCCTGCCTTTCTCCAGCACCCGCTGCGCTCCCGGAGCCGAGCGGGGACGGGAAAGTCTGGCTCCTCTGCTTCTCGTTGCCAGGACACCTTGGCGTTCAAACCTGAGCTGGGACCAATCAGCCCCGGGGCCGGGGAGCACCAGCCTCACGTCATCCTCCGCTGGCGTTGATTTGAGCGAAAAAGCGTGACAGCGGTCACACAGCCCGTGGGGAGCTGCCTTTGTGCGGGTGGGCTCTGCCCCCACCCCTGCCGCTTACTGGAAGCCTCTTCTGTCGGGCCGAAGAAAACAAAAGAGCCGCGAAGAAGGGAAGGGAAAAGAGAATTTCTCTCCAACTGCCAAAACTGAGTTCGAAACCCTGGGCTCTTCTGCACGTCCTCGTTCTTCACCTCCTGGCTGCAGTCCAGGTCCCGGTGGTCACCTCACCAGGGAGAGCCAGCACCTGTATCGCTTCATTCCGGGAGCGATGGAGCTTCCCCAGAACTAGCAGTGTGCTCCTTGTCCCCAAGTGTGGCTGCTTCCACCTGCCTGGCTCTGCCCCAGACTGTGCAGCATGGGTGCAGTCCCACAGCTCCAGGGATGCTTTCTGGCTTGGCTGCAGTTGCAGGGGTATTTTTTCCCCCAGCCAGCCCCTCCAAGATGTTTTTTACGGGGCCCAAAACTGGAGCCCTAAGCCCCTTATGAGCACAGGGCACATCAATACACGATGCAAACAGTTCATCTTTTGTTGAGGAAACTTTCCTGTCTGACCATTTGGGAGGCACTTTGGCTGTCACAGTCCCAAAATTTGAAGTGCTTCCTGAATGGTCAGACAGGAAAGTTTCCTTAACACCTTGGTGCTGGCTTCTCAGCTCAGACACGTGCAGCTGCTGCCAAGGTGCACACCTGAGTGAAGGATGCAGCCTTGTTTTTGGGGTGCCAGTGATGGCAACTAGTGATTCGCCTGCCCATAAGTGGAGCGGGTTAGACTCACCAGGCTCCTTCCCAAGGTGGGTAGGTCCAGGTGCCTGGGTAGAAACTGAAGAGAGACCTCCACATCACCTTGGTGGTGGTGATAGGGGGATGGACAACAGGGACTCAGATGTCCTGGCAGAGCTTCTTCCCTCGAGCCCTTTAGGCTCTCCAACCCAGGCATCTATGTGGATCTCCTTCCTGCTCACAGTTCAAAGTCATAGGATAACATCCGTCGTGCTCAGGGCAGGTGCTGAGCCTCTGGGATAAGTGTACTGGGTTTCTGCTAACCCTATTGCCTGTAATTTATTCTCCCCACCAGAAGACAACTGAGGTTTTGCCTGCTCCCAAAAGAAGATGACCTGAAGTGCGGTCTGAGCATGCTGGAGGGTGGAACCACAGGATCAGCTCCATGTGGTGCTGTGCCTGACTCACTCTCCATTACACCACCTCCCAACCACTCATTTCACTCCATTAATTAGCTATACTGCCGAGGTGCAATTCACTCCCATGGCCCGCAGTGAGTTGCTTTCCTTGACACCCTGTGCCAGCAACAATTAATGAATCCAGGCTAGCTCCTCACCCCACTCTGCTCTGCAGGTGGATGTGAATGAGCTGTGGTAGTGGACCTTTTGACCCCTGTGGACCCCTGTGTTTCCTGTACAGCACCAGGCACCCAGACTGCCTTCCTTGCCTTCAGCACCTCTTGAATGAGGTATGATTTAATTAAGGACACTGTTTCTGCTGAAGATGGCCCACGTGAGGCTGTAAAGGACTTTAACTCATTAATTTTCTGGACATACCTACAGTTAATTTGTGGTGACTTTATGCAGTAGACAAGCACACAGGCAGGTGTCCATGTGGCTCTGAATTTGCTCTGCTCATCCTTAGCACCAAGCCTCCAGTAGTGCTAGTTAGACCACGGTTACAGATGTCCCTTGTTTGGCTCAGATATCAGATTTCTCCATTGACTTGATGAAGGAGGAAAAGGCAAATGACAATCACAGAAAGTGATGGGATGGATTTCACCCCCTCATTAGTTCCATTACCCCAATTACAGAGCTTGGGGAGGATGTCAGCTGCTAAAGCAGGGCTACAGCCCCACCACCACACACAAAGCAGAAGGGTGAAAACACTGACATTTCTGGCAGCTTTCCTGAAGGGAACAGACAACATCTCAAGAGATCAGGTGCGTATCAGCATGGAGCCCAGGGGATATGAAAGGATATCCCTAGCAGTGCTGTCAGTGCTTTTAACAGCAGGTTAGGAGGGCTTAACAAGGCAGCAAGACCTGGCTGTCTGGGCATTGCTGTGGTGTGGCAACACATGGCAGTGAGTTGCAGTGCTGCACCCATGACAGCAGCCCTGGCCAGCAGTGGGGCTTGGGGATGAGGCTGTCAGAAATACTGAGCTGAAGTGGTATCAGCTTTTCTCTGGTGGAGAAAGAGCCATTTTCTGCACTTCTTGCATATGATTTAGAAGCATTCCCCTTTATCCTCAACCCATTCCGTCCTCACCTGACACAGGAGTAAACTTCTAGTCCCCTGACTCACCATCCTTTCTCTCAGGCTTTAATACAGGCAGCTAATCTTGGGTCCCAGTCACCTGGTGAGATTTTCAGTCAAGGAAAAAAACACACTTGAGAGTGATTTCTCTCTTAAGCAACTGACTCAGCCCCTGGAAGTGCCATCTCCCTCCTCCACACAGGCAGGAGCCAGGTATAACCAGGCATAGTCCTCGTGTTAGATGGGAGAGGAGTCCTGCCTCCAGACAAAATCAAAGGATGTGAGATAACCAAAATACTCCAGAGGGCCTGGGCCTCACTCCTTAGCTAGGAGTCATCCCTCAGCCAGCCCCACGCATTTTGTCCAGGTATGGGTAGCATTGGCGTACTGGATAAGTGAGCTCAGCTCCCTCCTCCAGGACTCACCAGCTCCTTCAAGAACTGGAGATACTGCCACTGCCAGCATGGGGAGGGAGCACAAAATCCCCTCTTGCACAGCTCTCCTGCAGCCGAGCTCTCAGAAAAGCTGTTGTGCCGCTGGACAATGGATATCCATCCAGACAGCTTGGATGTCTGACCATGAAACTATTATAGTGGAAGAGGGTCCCAGCAGAAACCTCCTTTACTGTGTCACTATGAGTGTCATGATGCAACAAGGCTACGAGATAGCAACAAAACATGCCAAACTAACTCATTGGTGGGGCAGAGTGGACTCAACCAGTCAACCATAAAGGACAGAGAGGGGGTATTCTTTTCCAGGGTCCAGTGGCTCAGTTTTGCCCCTTTATGCTTCTCCAAGCAGGATCTGTTCTACCTGTCATTGGTGCAGGTGTCCCAGCCAGAGCCACCCAACATCACAGGCACTGACGCAGTGGCACGTGGGATAAGACCCTACCTGGATGCAGCATCACAGTGTGATTTCCCTTCAAGCTGCTACTCACCTGTGAGCTCCCCAAAATCCCCAGCTAGCCAACACCAGAGCTGGTGGGCTGGTGGAAGGAGAGAAGTAAACCCATTGTTTCTGGAGGGGTTGGAAGAGGGCCCAGCCAGTATTGATTCAATTCTTCCTTCAATGTATGTTTGAGTGAAGCAATTCAGAACTGTTCCATCAACTCAAACTTGTGTAATAACATTAGCCACAAAACTCAGGAACTTGGTCCATCTTTCCTAGCAGATCCATTATTCTGAATCACTCCCTGAGTAACGACAATAAAATGATCTTGGCCTGATACACCAAAGCCAAACTCTCTAAAATCTAAGAGATAAAGTTTTTGTTATCACCTTTTTCTGAACAAGAATATCCTATGGGAACGTGCCAAAGAGTCAGTTCCCCATCTCCCCCTTACCTTGAATAAATAATATTGTAAAGGAAGTAAAAGAATAAAGTAAAATTTAGAAAATATATTCTTGATAAGCACATCTTAAAAAACAAAAAAAAAAAGGAAGGAAAACAAAAGAAAATGTGCAAACCCCTTTTAGCACTCGGAGCAACCCAAACCAAGAAAAATAGCAGGGCTGAGGAGGAAGATTGTGTGGGCACTGCTAGGGTGGGAACAGAGTACAGGGAGGGAACTGTAACCCCCACTTTTCTACATGTACACTTCACCCTTAAAATAGACTTGACCTGAAGTTATATATTTTCTCAATTCAGTAATACCTCTAACAGACCTATGTCCATCTCCGCTCTCCTCACATCACCTGCTCTGAAGTGATCATCTCTTCTACCCCATACTTTTGGCTTAGCCTGTATATTCCTTGGACAAACTCCTCCAAGGTGGCAATCTCCCTCCCTCCCTCCCCATTCCCCTTGAAGGGTTTTTCTTTCCCATAAGATTTATTTTGTCACTTGCCCAGCAGGAAGTGAAATGAGGGCAAACAAGTGTATTCATTCACATCTCTGTCTCCACATTTTATCTGTCTCACAGGTAAGATGCAAGCCCTGCTGTGAATAACAGCTTTAACCATGGCAACGCGCTCCAGCAACACAAACACAAAGGCACTGAGGTTGTAAAAAGGCTGGGAAAAAGAATGAAAGGAGGAGAAGGACCAGGTCTATCAAGGCCTGTTAAGAGCCAGGCACCTGGACCTGAGTTGAGCAGCAAGGTATTAGGGGACCTCTGAGATCATCAAGTCCAACCTTTGATTTTTTTTTTTGTTTAAATCCAGTCTGGGTTTCCCCTCATTCCATACTCCAGGAAAATCCAGTCCGGGTTTCCCCCCATTCCGTACTCCGGAAAAATCCAGTCCGGGCTTTCCACCATTCCGCACTCCGGAAAAATCCAGTCCGGGCTTTCCACCATTCCGTACTCCGGAAAAATCCAGTCCGGGCTTTCCACCATTCCGTACTCCGGCCGAAATCCAGTCTGAGTGTCGCTCCCCTCCTCCCCTCCCATAGCGGGCCCCGGGACCCCGACAGAGGCACCGCAAGGTGTGAACCCCCCAAGGTGACACCTGAACAGTGTTTTCTTTGTTGTAACAAACACAGAGGATCACGATGCAATGAATTTCTTCCAAAAAATCAGCCATAACCCTTGTAACTATACGAGCATACAAGGAGTTAATGCAGAGGTGTCCATCTCAGATTGGTGTGAAGCAGCCACGTTACTGTATCAGTTTCATGCATTTAGCTGGGCTGGGTTTATATTGTGGGTGTAGCATGCACTGCTGTCTGTGATTCCAATGCATACCCCACATGTCTGGGTTTAGGTGGGATGGAGTGATTTGTGTGCAAAACCAGTGAATTGGCTCTTTGAAGGTTGCCACCTTCAAACTTAAATGCACTGTCACAGCCTGCTAATTAAG